TGTACAAATGTGCTTTACACAATGGATGTATGTATGGATTGTGATAAGAGTTGTATGAGCCCCTAATAAAACGATTAAAAAAAAAATCTCAGTTTAAACATTCACTTCATCAGAAAAGCCTTTCTGGCCGCCCACCCCACTTCCCAGACTAGGTCAGGTCCCCTGTCATTCCTCTTAGGAGCTTATATCTTTGTGTCACTTGTCATAACCCAATTAAATAACTGCAATTAGTTATTGAACATGTCTCCCTCATGAGAATAGAAGTTACATCCAGGGGTAGACTGTAGCTTGTTCAGTGCTGACTATATCACTAGCCACAGTGTCTGGTACTTGCTGACTGAATGAGTTAACCTTTTTTTGTAAAAAATGTGCAAAAACCTTCAAAACAGTACAACCCAATTCTAATCTTCCGATGTGGGAAGCAAAACTATTGAGTACAGCTACCACTTCTCTATTTCATTATGATTGTCTTCTCAAGCTGCCCTTTCAGGGCTTCTGTTCAGCTCTTTTCCTTCATTATTTCTCCCATTTGTCTTAACTACTCTATGTTCAACAACCAATACCACAAAGACACTCACTTGTGTTTCTTTTGACTATGCAGACCCATTCAACTGTGTGGGTCACAACATATTATGGATAACATGATAAAAAATGGAATCCTAAATCACTTCACTGTACTCAAGCAGAACCCATACATAGTCCAAGAGACAATAATTTGAACATAACAAGAGGATACTGACTTTTTAAAATCAAGTGTAGCCAGGCAGCATCCTTCCCACACTTAAATCAATCCTTATGCTGAGCAAACCATCTGGGAAGATGGACTGTATGAAGAGTACTGCATCAGGACTGGAGGATGGCTCACTATCAGGCTGTGTCTTGCAGACGTTACAACCTTACTTAGAGTGAAGAGGGCTTTTTTGAAGCACTTCCTCTTGAAGATTAGAGACCGAAGCCTTTAGTATGGCTTATAACTCAAAGAAAAGAAACCAAACATACTCACAAGTGGAGCAATAGAAAATATCACCATAAGTAAACAATAGACAACCTCATGATAAATGGACAGAGACTGACGCTGTCAAGGATTTCAATTTACTCGGATCCACAACTAACACTGGTAGAATCTGCTATCAAGAAACCAAATGACTGACTGGCCTCTTCCAAGTGCTAAAGAGAGAGAGAGATGTCCTCTTGAAAACTAAGATGTGCCTGACCCGAGCCCTCGTGTCTTCAGTCACCTTAGATGCAACTGAAAACTGAACAATGATTAAGGCAGACCAAAGAAAGTATTTGAATTACGGTGTTGGCGAGAGACAAAAATCCACTGCCATTGAGTTGACTGAGTCATAGTCACCCTTTAGTACAGTTTAGGGGAATAGAACTGCTCCCTAGAGTTTCAGAGACTATAAATCTTCATAGGGACAAGAAAGCCTCATCTTTTTCCACAGAGCTGCTGAGGGGTTCAAACTGCTGACTTAGCAGTTAACAGCCCTTTGCATAACCCACTATGCCACTAGGGCTCCTTTGGTGTTGCCATGGACTGTCAGAGAAACACAAAAACCCGTGTGGGAAGAAACACAGCCAGAATGCTCCTTAAAAGCAAGGATGGCAAACGTTGTTGTAAGTACTTCTGAGGTGTTACAGGGAGGAAGCAGCCCCTGAAGAAGTGTACCCCACTTGCTAAAGGGGAAAGTGAGCAAAGAAGAGGAAGACCTCAGCCAGAAGGCCTGACACAGGAGTTGCAACAATTGGCTCAAATACAGCAATGTGCGTGAGGGTGGTCTACAACAGGTCACCTGATAACATTTCTCTAATTACCCCCATTTCCACTCTACTTTCTGCCCAAATTATCTCATATTACTCACTTTAAATATAAATATGCAGGTTGTCCCTGATTTACAGCATATTCCAGTTCTACAAACAGCTACACTTATCTTTTTTTCTTGAACATCTGTAACAAGTAATATGTACTACATGTAATGTTGTAACATATATAGTTTGTTCATGTTAATCATTCTCAGATGTCCACTTGAAGATATTCAATCTTATAATTTACTGTTCAAAAACACTCACACCCATTGTAATACAAGTTAATTCCATTTCATAGGGACCCTTATAGCTATTGAAAGCATGGACCCAGATGCTTTCGTAAATCCTATAGACAGCTCCAAGAAGCAGTGAGACATTACTGTAAAATATATGAAGGAGAAAAGGATCATCCATAGCAAAGCATCTTAAATTTAAGGTCTTGAGCTGGACAACTCTCACTAATTTTCTGACTAGAAATACCATTTCCATTGCCATGGATAATCCACATGACCCGTAACCTTTCA